CCTCGGCCCCCTACCCCTCCCCTCCAGATCCCAGCCACCCCCCCCCCCGGGGGGGTTCCCAGGTCTCCCCCCAGAAACCCTTTCAGCCCTTCCTCCGCCCCCCTAAGCCCCTGCGTGCGAGAACCGCCACCGCCACCTCAGCCCTCGCCCACCTCAGGGGCCGGGGGCGCGCCGGGGAGGGCGGGGGCGCGCGCCGGGCGGAGGGAGCCGGGAAGGGCGCCGCAGCCGTCCGCCGCATTCCAGCACTCGTCTCTCGCTCGCCCGGGGGAAGCGCCCCATTGGCTAAAGCGCGGAGGTGACGTCACAAAGCTCAGCCGCCGCCGCCTCCACAGCCTCCTCCTCCTCCTCCCGGTCTCAACCACCCAAGTGCGTGACGTCACCGCTCTCCGGACAGGGTTTTTCCCCTCTCGATGGGAAAGGAATTTTGCGAATGCAGCGCGAGGCGCGCGCCCCGCCCCCGCCCCCGGGCGCTGCTGCGTCTTCTTCTTCTCCCCCCGCCCGCCCCCCTGTGCTCAGGCCACAGATATCGGGGAGAACATCCTTAGGCAGGCGAGGGAGCCTGAATATTTATTAACATGAGGGATGGAGGCAGGAAATAGCAGCAGCCCATTCTCGCCCTCCCCGCGGGTTAACCACGAAGCAGACTAAGCAGGTGCTTAGGGCGCCAGGGCCAAAGGGGGCACCCCAAATTTGAGGAAAGGGGGAAAACTGGTGAAATATTAAAACAGATGTTGTATTGCATTTTTGTAGAACTTTATGTAGCCCAAGCTTGGCTTCGTTTGTACAGGATATGGTGTTACCCTAGGAATAAATGTTTGTATTGCTGCAACCTGCATTGCATATCTGGTCAGACAGGCCGACAACTAAAATGGACTGGGGGTCAGTGTGGAAAGGAGGGGGGGCACCAAGATGGGTCAGTGCTGAGGGCACCCCTGAGCCTTCATCCACCCCTGCCTCCCCGGGTTTACTCTGGCCACCCGCTCTGAGCGTGCCCGAAGACTAGGCTGCCAATGTTCCCTCTAAGCTGCGGAGTCTCGAGAGCAAAAATTCTCCTCTGTGAGCTCCGGGCATTACAGTTGTGAGCGAGCGATTTGGCTACTGCATAAATTAGTCTAGCCGCCCTCGAGAGGCGGCTGACACCACCCCTTCCCTAGCCCGGAGAGAGAAGTATCCTCGTTCAGGATGGCTGAATCGACTTAATCTGAGCTGTAAACTGTAAGTGACAGCCGTTCCAGGCGTCCTTTTTGGGGCTCCTCCTGTAGCAACGTGTTCCAGCGCCCCTGCCTTCCCTGGGGATTTGCAGTCCCACAGCTACCTGGCCCAAATCCTTATTCCTGCCCAAGGCAATGAGAACAAACTTGAAATCATAGAGTTGGAAGGGACCTAAAAGGGCTGTCTAGTCCAACCCCCTGCACAATGTATTAAATTCACAAATACCCCCCCCCCCGTGACCCCTGCTCTGTGCCCGGAAGAGGGCAAACCCACCCCCAGTTCATGGCTCTCCTCTGGCTTGAAACACAGAGCTTGGCGGTAAAGGAAGGTGCATCTCCCCTCAGGCTTCCCAACCTCCAGGTAGGCATACAAATATATATATATCAGTGGGTGCGTTCAGACAGGCCGTTTAGTCCGCTTTCGGGACGCTTCAGTAACGGATTATATATCCACGTTCACACACCAGGTGTGTGGAGTTCACACACATCCACGTTCCTCCTCTACAGGGGCTATTGTTCTCTCCTCACAACTACCCTGAGAAGTAAATTAGGTTGAATGTATGACTGGCCCAGGCGACGCAACAGACTTGCATGGCCAAGTGGGGAATTTGAACTGGGGGTGGGTGGGGGAGATCCCAGATCTTTGTCACTTGCTCCAGCCATTATCCCACACTGGCTCAGAAGGCAGAGTTCAGGCAGGGAGCAGGGCACGAGTAAGGGCCGCGGTGGCTCAGAAGGTTAAGACACTGAGCTGCAGACCGGAAGGTCGGTACTAGCTTGGCAGTTCAAGACCAGAGTGCTGTGTGACAGGGGTGAGCTCCCGTCTCTGGACCCAGCTCCTGCCAACCTAGCAGGTCGAAAGCAAGAAATTGCAAGTAGATAAAGAGGTACCGCTTCGGTGGGAAAGTAACAGCGTTCCTGTCTAGTCATGCTGGCCACATGACCATGGAAGTCTCCAGACAGTGCTGGCTCTTCAGCTTGGAGATGAGCACTGCCCTCTAGAGTCAGATTTGACTGGCTTTTGAGCAAGGGAACCCCTTACCTTTAGGGCACTAGTACTAGGCAATCGATGTACTGGCTTAGAGGCAATGACTTGGATGAGACGACTGCGCCCTGCAGATTGACACCATACAGATCAGTTTCACTAGCTGTGGTACTTTGTTCCTGTAAGATTCAACTCATATGTTGGGGGGTGGAAAGTGCTATCAAGTCACAACCGACTTATGGTCGCCCCATACGGTCTTCAGGGCAAGGGCCATTCAGAGGTGGTTTGCCAAAAACCTCTTTCTACGGTAAAATGCCCCAGGGCGCTGCCCGGTCACCATCACGGAGCGCGTCTGGTGGGATTTCGAGCCGAGCCTGCTGCAGGTCACCTGTTTGCATGGAAGCCGGAGAGACATGAGCTTCCTGGCATGGTAAAACAATTTTATGCTTTATTCTTTTTCTTTTTATATTTTTCAATACTATTGTCTAGATATTGGTATCAAATGTTATCAAAAATATATTTCACCCAAAAAATACATAGAGAAAAATGTTTCACCCCAAACGATACATTGAGTGCAGGTTTTTTATTTAGACAGCACCTTGTCAGTAACACTATCCCTAGGTGCTGTCTGAAAAATATAAAAAGAAAAAGGAATATAGCATAAAATTGTTTTACCATAAGCATATATTTATTGTACACAGTGGTATGTATTTTTGTATGTCTTCCTCGCACCGTGGCCCTCCGTTTTTGTATTCACCTCCAGGCAGGGCTTGGAGGCCTCCCAGAATTACAGTTGATCCCCAGGCAACACGGATTGTTTCCTCTGGAGAAAACGGACTCTGTGCCATGGCATCACATCCCTGCCCAGTTCCTGCCCCTTCCCAGGTGTTGCCCCCCAACCCAGACCTGGCCATCTCCTTCCTGCAACTGGTAGTAGCCTTTGGAGTCTACCGCTTACAACTTTTCTCTTCTTCATGACTTCGTGCCTCTGTGGGCAGCTACCTAGGAACATCATACACCTCTGCCCACGCAAACGCTCATTCACAAAAAAACTTAGGCTAGTTCAGTGATGGCGAACCTTTTAGAGACCGAGTGCCCAAACTGCGACCCAAGACCCACTTATTTATCATAAAGTGCCAACACGGCAATGTAACCTGAATACTGAGATTTTACTGTAGAAAAAACTCATAAATTAACTTAAGATGATCCAAACAAAGTAAGGAAAGCAATCCCAAATGCTTTCATTTACTTAAAATTATTTGGCAGAGAATTCGACACTTTAATGATGGTCTGGGCCTGGCTGGGGCGATGGCACGCGTGCCCAGAGAGGGCTCTGAGTGCCACCTCTGGCACCCGTGCCAGAGGTTCACCACCACTGGGCTAGGACAACCCCCCCCTCCCAACTTGAGGGCCCAAAGGCCTGCTGTGATTGGAACTAGGGGACTGGAGCTGCAGGCACTGAACAGGGGGTATTGCCTGGCCGGATAGGGACCAGAGAAGGACAGAAGTCCTCATGGAGCTGAGGTAGCCGTCTCTTCCCTTCTCCCAACCTCAATTCTGCCTGGTGGCAGACCTACATTTTTGGGGCCCTGAAGCTTGAACTGTGGGGGGGGGGGCACCTTCTCACGTGCCATCAAGCTGCTTCCGACTAACGGTGACCCCGTGGATTAATAACCTCCAAAATGTCCTATCAGTAAATAGCTTTGTTCACGCCTTGCAAACAGAGTCAATCCCTCTCAGGCTGGGTCTTCCCTCTTTTCCTACAACCTTCGACTTTCCCAAAACCTCAAAAGTGTCCTGTAGCTGAAGGTGGAGACTCTCTTTGTATTTCATCAGCTTATCTAGACTAGTTTTTCTGGCCAAACTGCCCTTATTAGAGGGCCGATTACCTGACTGGGCGCCAGGGAGCCGTCACAAAACGGGTTCTCAAGGACAAGGCCACAGTTCCCCTCGGCAGGCAGAAAGGGCCAAGTTTGCACTTATTCTACCTTCTCCTCTACAGGGGCTATTGTTCTCTCCTCACAACTACCCTGAGAAGTAAATTAGGTTGAATGTATGACTGGCCCAGGCGACGCAACAGACTTGCATGGCCAAGTGGGGAATTTGAACTGGGGGTGGGTGGGGGAGATCCCAGATCTTTGTCACTTGCTCCAGCCATTATCCCACACTGGCTCAGAAGGCAGAGTTTAGGCAGGGAGCAGGGCACGAGTAAGGGCCGCGGTGGCTCAGAAGGTTAAGACACTGAGCTGCAGACCGGAAGGTCGGTACTAGCTTGGCAGTTCAAGACCAGAGTGCTGTGTGACAGGGGTGAGCTCCCGTCTCTGGACCCAGCTCCTGCCAACCTAGCAGGTCGAAAGCAAGAAATTGCAAGTAGATAAAGAGGTACCGCTTCGGTGGGAAAGTAACAGCGTTCCTGTCTAGTCATGCTGGCCACATGACCATGGAAGTCTCCAGACAGTGCTGGCTCTTCAGCTTGGAGATGAGCACTGCCCTCTAGAGTCAGATTTGACTGGCTTTT